AATGATTCAGCTATCTTAGAATTGATAATGAAGCCTCTGGACTATTGTTTTACTCGTCCTGTTTTAGAGCGTCAAAGATGTTTATTATCTGTAATGTTCTGGAATCTTCCTTTGAGAACCACAGTTTGCAGGGCATTATAGCATAAGAGAGTCATCGTTCTTTGGAATGCTGGTATGATTATCAGATACAAATACCTAGAAAATTATGACTTATAATTTGGTTGCGACATATCAAATTCAGTATTTTTTGTCTGAGGTTTTTCCCAGCCAAGTCACACCCCATTATTTGTATGTGAGAAGTCATAATAATGCAGCTTCCAACCCATTTTTCTATATTGAGATAAAAGAGTAGCTAAGATATTTGCAACTAAGTCTCCAAAAAAATTAAACACTTTCAATACATTTTTCCTTTTGTACAATTTATAGCTGGACATTTTACTGCTAGGTTAGATCAGATCAGACATATAGCCTGCAGCTTGGGAAACAAAAGTTCCCATGGTAATTATCTTCTTTATCATGGTGGGATAATGAGAAAAAATATTTTGTTTTTGGGATGAAAGACAGGGAGAACATACATCTGAGTAACTACTATAAAACTGGTCATCTGGATTTTCTATTCTGGATTACTGAATGTTGTGATCTGCTGTAAAGAGCTTACTTCCTGTCCCATATAAACACAAATAAAAACTTTGCATTTTTTTCTTCCCAGAGACCCATCTTGGTTCAATGAAACATGGCTCCTACGGATTAAAGATGACAGTGGTGACAATTGGAGACTGAAGGTATATATTGTAATTCAGTGAATTGATGTCCCCAAAGCATTTTGTCGCAGATAGTCTTCTTTGGTGCTTGTATTTCTAACTGTTTTGATAGACTACTTCTCAGTATTTGGTACATTCTGCCATTTTTGAACATGACTAATAATAATAATAATAAAGTTGGAAGGGACCTTGGAGGTCATCGAGTCCAACCCCCTGCCCAGGCAGGAAACCCTATACCATTTCAGACAAACGGCTGTCCAGTCTCTTCTTAAAAACTTCCAGTGTTGGAGCATTCACCACTTCTGGAGGCAGGTTGTTCCATTGGTTAATTGTTCTAACTGTCAGGAAGTTTCTCCTTAGTTCTAGGTTGCTTCTCTCCTTGATCAGTTTCCACCCATTGCTTCTCGTCCTGCCTTCAGGCGCCTTGGAGAATA